TTTTGGTTCACCTAGTAGGTATCACCGAGACTGACAGTGGTTTTTCATGACAATGTATGATCTAAGACTTTGTATTTGCTCTCCATAACTATTGCTTTCCTTTTTTCCTTATTTTTTTTTTTTTTTAAAAATGATATTTATGTGATAACTTGGTATTGTTCCTGTGATCTTTCACGGAGTGACGAACCGTCTTGAGACTTGAGACTTCGGGATGAATTTCTTCAAGCAAGTTTGTATAGAGACAGAAATAAACAACTGACATTTACGTCACAGGTGAAGTGTAGTGCCCATGGAAACAACTGTTTGTTGTGTGTGCCGACTAAGAAAGTGGAACTAAAGATGTGGGTCATGTCATTGGTAGATGATAGGTACTTACCACAAACATATAAGACAGTTTCCAGGAGGGATGGGAGTTGGTTTGTTTGGGGGGTTTTTGGGGGGAGGGGTTTCAGAGTATAATCATGATTGATAAAGGTATGCACACCACACAAACATGTATATTATGTGTGTATTGGATACTCCATCATATTTCATGCAGGTTTATATTTATTATTATTACAGAAGTTATAACTGAAGGTTCTCTGCTCTGTAAGACTAAAGTCAATTTCACAAATTCCTTTTTCTTAGACAAAAACACAGTTTAAAAAAAAATAGAAATCTAGTTTGGTTTTTTTATTTAAAAATTATATTTTTTTAAAGCAGTTTTTAAAAAAGATGAATTTATGTGTTCTTCTAATATGATAATAAGAGAGCAAACAAAGTAGCGACATGTGGGAAGTCAAAACTTCTAGAATGTTGTTCCGTCTTTGAGGAAGAAAAGGCAATGTAAGAGCTGATCACAGTGGTAAAGTCTTTTATCTCTATTGATGGATTTGCAATAATATCCTCATTGTAACTGTTCCACCCCTCCCTCCCTCCCTCCCTCCGTACCCCCAAAAAACAACAAATTTTAATCATGTGTTATGAAGAAAGGCGAGCTCTTTTGAAAGATAGAGAGAGCGGAGAAGAGGCAAGTGGAGGTTTTGTTGTCGTGTTACGACTGTCGTCTGTGAGCTGGACAGCGGGAGGGGGCGGCTGGCGGGTGGTCGAGGTGCGCCCGGTCAAGCCAGTCAGATGATGATACAAGCTTGCCTAGTTGTTGGTTTTTTTCGGGGGTTTTTTTCTGTTTCTCATTTCTTTTCTATGTGAAGTTTTCCTGAGAAATAGAATATCCATTGTCTGTTTTGTTACAGTTCTTGTACTATTTCTCCCAATAAACTTGTAAGATTCCAGTTTGTTCCCAGCATAGACTGCGTGTTCCACTCTTGCATATTTCTGGCACCGGTGTAGTGGAGTCCGCTTAAACAAAACTGCCGAACGCGGTTATTCCGAAAACAGCCGTAAACCGAAAGAAAATAGAATCCTGCATGGTTTTCTTTTTATCTTCACTAGTTGAACTGGAGAAAATCTGGCGGTCCTCCTGATTGTGGTTTGTGCGGACTCCACTGTGTACCTGTACCTGTCGTCTAGTTGGACTTGTACCAAATGTACTGTTTTCTTTTGTTGTTATGTCGGGGTACCGAGCGGCTCTTTCAACACAGAACTGTGGCAGAGCTGTGGAGGAGACTCGACCTCCAGACACAACACGCACGTCTCAAAGAGGATCCAGCCACGTGGGGGAGAAAGCTTGGTAAACTCCCACGTTATGGGATCGAACCCGTGCCATATGCACCATAAACAAGCCAGAAGGATGGAGAATGAGCCGACTACATTAGTCAGTGTGGCTTGCTGAAAGAGTTATGGCGAAAAATAAGCCAAGGGGAAATATATTGGGACGGGAGACGAAAGTGAAAATAAAAACAAGGGAGGTAACAAAGGAGGTGACAGAAGGACACACAAAACCTGAGTTAGTTCCCTTTCCAAAATACGATTATCTAATTACCTCCCTTGTTTTTACCTCCCCCTTTCACCTGATCAGTAGGTTATCTCCCCCTTTTTCACGACTTTTGTCTGGAGTTATCTCCCCTTTTTGCATTGTTTTAAAAAATGAAGAAAAAAAATCCGACCCAATTTTTTTCCTTCTGCTTTTTTTCAGATTTTTTTTTTCTTTAAAAAAAAATTGAGGTAGAAATGGGCAGATAACTCCTGGCAACTTAAGGCACAATTTGGTAAAATCGTGGTTAGTTCCCCTGATTTAACCATTTATCTTATTACCTCCCTTGATATTATCTCCCCCTGTGCCCTCATCAGTAGGTTATCTCCCCCTTTTTCACGACTTTTGTCTGGAGTTATCTCCCCCTTTTGTCCGGGTTTTAAAAAGAAAAAAAAATAAGGAAAAAAAAGAAACCACCCAATTTTTTTCTTTTTTAAAAAAGCTATAAAAGGGGGAGACAACTCCAGACAAAAGTCGTGAAAAGGGGGGAGATAACTCCAGACAAAAGTCGTGAAAAAGGGGGAGATAACCTACTGATGAGGGCACAGGGGGAGATAATATCAAGGGAGGTAATAAGATAAATGGTTAAATCAGGGGAACTAACCACGATTTTACCAAATTGTGCCTTAAGTTGCCAGGAGTTATCTGCCCATTTCTACCTCAATTTTTTTTTAAAGAAAAAAAAAATCTGAAAAAAAGCAGAAGGAAAAAAATTGGGTCGGATTTTTTTTCTTCATTTTTTAAAACAATGCAAAAAGGGGAGATAACTCCAGACAAAAGTCGTGAAAAAGGGGGAGATAACCTACTGATGAGGGCACAGGGGGAGATAATATCAAGGGAGGTAATAAGATAAAAATGGTTAAATCAGGGGACCTAACCATGTTTTTACCAACTTTTGTCTTAAGATGTCTAGAGTTGTCTCCCCATTTTG